TCCCACAACTAATTAGGGAGGACAAATTTTTTTTAAAAATGATAAGGTTTCACATTTAAATTTTTTTTCAATCGAAATTAATAAAAATTATGACCTTTGAATACAAGCCGAAAAAAATCGGATACGGAACACTGTGAACAAGGAAATAAAACAAGATTTTAGATTAAATTTATCTATTCATTAGACTTATTTAGTTTTTTTCTTTCGTTTCGATTCGTATATTTAATTAAACGAGGGAAAATATTTAAATATTAAATAATTTAAGCGAAATTGAATCACAAATTTTTATTTCGTTACTCGCTTTTTAGAATATAGATATTTTTCCCTTTTTAAATTTTGCGGAATTAACATTTGTAAGTCGATAGAAAAAAATCGAAAAACAGATCTATACATAATTAATGACATGATAGATAAAAAAAAAAAAAAAAGGTTTAAACATGGATATGTATTAGATTTTAAAAATGTATCTGTCTTCAATCATCAACGTGTCAAAATTCACTGATGTTTGAAAAAAGGTGAAATGTGATTCTTTGCCTTGTGTAATCTTTGAAGGACTTTTTGGTCTTAATCTCTTTTTTTTTCTTTTCGTTTCAAAAATAAGAATCTCAAAATGATTGGAATAAAAGATATATATATATACATTTTCGAAAGAGCTGAGGCCTCTAAAATTTCTTAATGAATATACTTCGATTGAAGGGTTTAATTAAAATTCCTATTATAACGACTCATTCCTATATAGGATATATTGTAGTTTGAAAAATTCGAATCATCAATTTATTTGCAACGTCACTAGTGAGTCCAAAAAAAAAAAAAAATTGATTTACGATTTGTTATTAAATCTTGATAATTAATCTTATTATATTAATTATAATATAGGATTTAGTTTTCGTAAAAAAATGTGTTCATTTTATTTTAGATCTTGTTAGACAGAATATTTTATTCCTTTTTTTTACACATATGACTCGTGCTTTATGGCGTCTCTAATGAAAGAAAAATTGTGTATTCTAGACATGAAATAAAATGAAAAAAAAAAAAAAAATTGTAAACGTAATGTAGCTAGCAGGCAGTAATGCCTCAAGGTGTGTCATGTGTCGCCAGTATTCTATTTGGTATCCTCAAGGGATAGGATAGGAGTGCATAAATGTTGTATGTAACGCATGATAAACTGAGTACGTGACCTAGTATTGATAAACAGTACACCCAGAAGCGTTATTCCATCGTACAATATGCGTAATTTTCTCTCTCTCTCTCTCTCTTTTCTCGAGAACATTTGATTCCTCAACTTTTAGATTATTCTGTATGCGCAACGAGTGTATATATATATACGTAAAACTCAGGAGTGCATTATATATATATATGTAGTTTATTTGTAGGCGATCACTGATTGGTACCGCCTACATTATGTTCTTGTTCAAGTCACGGATTCTGTACGCATGACAAAAAAAAAATGCCAATCGATCAGAATCAATTGTATGTATGATCGACTTCTATTTATATTATTATTGGCAATCAGCAATGTTTATATGACAATTTCAAGTAGGAGAGAAAGTTGCCTTTTTCATTTGCACAAATAATAAAATGATTATGTTGAGTTGTTAAATAATTATTCCGTATTTGTTAGAGAAAAATTTGTGTTCATTAACCTAACCTAAAAATACTGTCAACTTTTTTTTTTAGGGTACTAAGTTAGTCATTTTAATTTCGTTAGTATAGAAAATAATACTCGGGGGCCAATTGTGTAACTTTCCTACTTTCCAGTTCCACATTTTTTTTTTACTTTCCACCTCCCACTTTCCATTTTCTACATCTCACTATCTACTTTTCTACTTTCTACCTTCCACTTTTCACATCTTACTATCCACTTTATACTTTCCTATTTCCAGTTTGCACATGCCACTATTAACTTTCCCAGTTTCTACTTTCTACTTTACTTCACAATTTTCTCTTTCCAATTTTCCACTTTTCATATACCACTATCTACTTCCTGATTTCCTACTTTCTACCTTCTACTTTCCACTACCTTCTATCCACTTCCCGATTTTCTACTTTCTACCTCCTAGTTTCCACTATCCACTTCCCGATTTCCTACTTTCCACTAACTACCATCGTCTTCCCACTTTCTACCTCCTACTATCCATTTCCTACTTTCTACCTCCTTCTTTCCACTACCTTCTATCCACTTCCCGATTTTCTACTTTCTACCTCCTACTTTCCACTATCCACTTCCCGATTTTCTACTTTCTACCTCCTACTTTCCACTACCCACTATCCACTTCCCGATTTCCTACTTTCCACTAACTACCATCGTCTTCCCACTTTCTACCTCCTACTATCCATTTCCTACTTTCTACCTCCTTCTTTCCACTACCTTCTATCCACTTCCCGATTTTCTACTTTCTACCTCCTACTTTCCACTACCCACTATCCACTTTCCGATTTCCTACTTTCCACTAACTACCATCGTCTTCCCACTTTCTACCTCCTACTTTCCACTACCTTCTATCCACTTCCCGCTTTTCTACTTTCTTCCTCCTACTTTCCTCTACCCACTTCCCGATTTCCTACTTTCCACTAACTACCATCGTCTTTCCATTTTCTACCTCCTACTATCCATTTCCTACTTTCCACTATCCACTTCCCGATTTCCAACTTTCTACCTCCTACTTTCCTCTAACTACGATCCACTTTCTAGTAGAAAGGGAAAAAGTGGGGCGTGAAAAGTAGGAAAATGGAAAGTCGAAATTGAGAAATAAAGTGGTAAGAATGGGAAATTGGGAAATGGATAGTAGAAGGTAGAAAGTGGGAAGTGGATGGTAGTTAGTGGAAAGTAGGAGGTAGAATGTAGGAAATAAGGAAGTGGATAGTAGGTATTGGAAAGTGGAAAATTGGGAAGTAGAATGTGGTAAGTGGATAATAGGAGGTAAATAATGGGAAATCGGAAAGTGGACAGTGAGATGTGAAAAATGGTGGGTGGAAAGTGGATAATAGGAAATGAAAAATGGGTATATGGAAAGTGGGAAAACGGAAAGTGGATAATAAGCAGTAGAAAGTAGGAGGAAGTAAATCGGGAAGTGGATAGTATGAGGTAGTAAGTAGGTAGTGAAAAGTAGGAGGTAGAAAGTGGGAAATGGATAGTAAGAGGTAGATAATGGGAAGTGGATGGTAGTTAGTGGAAGGTAGAAAATAGGGAAGTGGGTAATAGGTAGTGGAAAGTAGGAGGAAGAAAGTAGGAAATTGGGAAGTAGATAGTAGGAGGTAAAAAGTAGGAAATCGGGAAGTGGATAGTAGGAGGTAGAAAGTGGGAAATCGGGATGTGGATAGTAGGTAGTGGAAAGAAAGAGGAAAAAAGTAGGAAATCGGGAAGTAGATAGTAAGAGGTACAAAGTAGGAAATCGGGATGTAAATAGTAGTTAGTGAAAAGTAGGAAATCAGAAAGTGGATAGTAGGTAGTGGAAAGTAGTAGGTAGAAAGTGGGAAATGGATAGTAAGAGGCAGAAAATGGGAAGTGGATGGTACTTAGTGGAAAGTAGAAAATGGGAAAGTAGGTAATAGGTAGTGCATATTAGGGGGAAGGAAATCGGGAAGTGGATAGTAGGTAGTGAAAAGTAGGAGGTAGAATTTGGGAAATTGGAAAGTAGATAGTAGGAAGTAGAAAGTGGGAAATCGAGAAGTGCAATAATAGGAGGAAAATAATGGGAAATCGGAAAGTGGATAGTAAAATGTGAAAAATGATGGGTGGAAAGTGGATAATGGGAAATGAAAAATGGGTTATATGAAAAGTGGGAAAATGGAAAACGGAAAGTGGAAAAGTTATGGAATTAATCTCCCAATCGTATAATTCTTCGCTTATTTACATCCGACATGACAGTAGAATGCGGCATTTGCCTTTCTACGTGACACAAATCCTTTTTTTGCTTATTGGTGTCTTTCCGATCACCACCCGGACAGATTTTGTTCGGGATGGTTTTAGCTTTCGAGTTGAGATTAAACACAACCGGTTTGACCAAATGTCTTCTATATATATATATATATATATGTATACAGGAATAAAAGGAGCGATAATGACGATGAGCCGCGTGTGCGTGAGGCGAGTTCCGAGATCAACTGCCTTCGTTAATTATTCTAATTAGCCATTGAGGAGAGAAGAAACAAAGCTAAAGGAGGCGCACTGCCCAAGCAGCTGGATTTTTTCTTGCGAAAATACGGTCTCGGTTGAAACCATCACCTCTACTGCCTCTATTAGTGTCTGGCTAATAGCTGTGTATAGATTTACTGCTACAAATCACTCACAATAATTTCCTTCTCTTTTTGTTTTTGTTTTTTTCTTTTCCATATATATTGAAAAAGTATTTTCAATATCAAAATTGGTATAAAAATGTTCAATTCATTATTCAATAACATAAAAAGAAATTTACTTTTTATTCTTAAAATGTTTTGTAAAATTTGAATTTCATAGTATATTAACATAAAAATAATATAGTTTCACAAAAGACCACCGTGAATTTTGAAATTTTTGAGAGTTAGAAAAATTATTGTGGGAGGAATAAATTTTCTTAATATGGAGTGATGTAATTTTTTTTTTTTTTATCGAATGTCATTTTTCAAAATATGATCCTAGTTTTATATGGCTTTTAACTTTAATCCCTTTTTTTATGATCATATTTTTTTTCATTCTCGACTTTATCTCTTTACTTTCATATAATGCCGAAGGGATTTGGACTTATATGGCGCGCAACTTCGAATACGCGATAATTTTTAACACGCGAAGAATGTTGAACAAACTAGCGTCAAGGGGACAATTATGAGTGTCTCGCAAAAGATATTCTTTTAACAATGAAAAAAAAAAAAAAAAATGCACTGATGCTGTTTTACGAGTCAGCGGCGGGATGAGCGATGAAAAAAGAATATGATAACTGCGATTAATGGTCCCACTTTAAAAATTCATTCTCAATATCTTCTGCTAAAATGTGTTGATAAAAATTATGATGAAACATATATGATTTGCCTCAGTAATTAAATATTCTTTTCTTTTGTTGTTACAACGAGTTTTTTTTAAATATGTTTTAGAAGCAATCTCAGAATCGATTTTCAAAATTGTTTTTCAAAATTTTGAAAGATTAAATTTTTTAGATTAGCGAGATGAGTGGAAAAAATTAATAGAAGGAAATCGAAAAATGATAATATGGAATTTTCTATTTTCTTACGGATTAGTTTTTCTCTATTGGACAATTTATGTATTTGATTTGTGTTAAAAAAAAAAATACAGCATTTCTTAACACTTCCTTCATTTTTCATTTCCTTTCATTTGCAACAATTTCCTGCGCCTGTTTTTCTATATATTTATATCGATAAATCCGCTCCTTAAGGGCATTTCATCTTCCTGGATTATTTTCCCTTTTCAAAATGGATAAACTGTCTGTAAATTTTAGATCAAAAATATCAAATTAATACCAAAAATATTAAATTGATGTAAAATTTTTAATCAATTTGATATACTTTTAAATTAGTGTTAACCTAAAAATTTAAATAATATTGGAGGATCGAACATTTGGTTACAAATAGGTGTTAACCTTTTCATTTTAAAATGAGTAAAACACTTGCCCTACAAGGTTGCTAACAACCAATTAAATTAGAAGAAGATATAACTTTTTTTTTCTCTCTCTCTAAATTTTATATTTTTCTTTTTTGTTTCAGGTAAGTTCACACGTCCATCTTGCGAGCAACTTTAAACTGACCTTAAGACGAAGACGATAATGCACCGACTATAGTTTTGGTATATGTGATAACCATCTGGAAGTTCGTTAGCAGGTTTTGAAATATATATATATATAAACGGTGCGCTCTCGCACGAACCAAAAAGACCGGTATATTTCGCTTGTGTTTGGCACTTATACATTTATACAGGATTTCATATCTCACAGAACGAGCCACATTTGGTTTCTTTTTCTCCTTCATTTTTTTTACCTCTCTCTCTCTCTTTCTTTTTTTTTCAAGAACGAGATTCAGAAGTTAGATTGTAAAAACACATGTTTCACGGATAAAAACATATTCTTTATAATTAAGGATATAATCTTCTTTTGATTTCAACCTGTCGCATTATCGAAAATTCTTGCAAATCGGTCCTGAATTCTATTTCTGTTCCTATTTTATAGTATATATAGTTTAAAATTTTTTTTTTTTTTCTTTTAATTTTGAATTTTTGATAAAAATTTGTTTTGTTTTAGCAAACTGGTAAAATTTATAATAGAGCATTGTGGTTTGAAAAAAAAAAAATAAGATTTCAATCACCTTGAATTCCCCATTTTATTTTCTCGGCTGCAAAGTTGACTTTCTTCACGAGCTCGTGCGGTCTGCTCGTTTTACAAGTTGTTTTACAAGTATAGAACCTGTGGCCCCATGCTGAGAAAGAAACCTCTCTTTCTACTTTTAATCTAAAGTCCGCAACTAAATTTCGGCCCACCTGAGCCGGGGCCCACCTTCTTTGTTCCCACTTTCTCGACTCTAAATTTTCTCAACCTGTTCGATATATGTATGTGACGTTATCATTTCCCCCCCCCTCTGTTGTCGCAATTTTTACAACAATATTTGTTTTTTACAATCTGGAAAAATTTTGAGAGAAATGAAAATATTCAATCAATTCTTGATGCAAAACTATTTTTTTTTTTTTTTTATCCAAATACAAAATACCACCCAAGTATTTCTCTCGTGATTTCAATTTTGTTTTACTATTTTATTATCAAATCAAATGTGGCTCGTTTTGTCGATTATATATACACATAGAATATCATAGAATCAGCATGAAGATGAAGACAAATTGCATGCCACACGAAAGGTTTTAACCGTACAATTTCAAAGTGAAATGTATGTTGTACAATATATAATGGACTATAACTTAGTGTATCGTCCAGTGAATTTTCCGTGCAATTAATTGCGCCGTAAGAGGATGCTGCTTTCCACGAATATGTTAAGTCGTGCGGCATCAGATATATTTATATATCAGTACATATACATATATATATACATAATACCGATGTTCCCAAGCGTTCTATAAATTTCATTCATAACTCATGTTCTAATCCGCATTTTATTTTCAGCTTAAGTTTATATTTTATAAAACCACAACGACAAGTTGCATTCTCATCATGTGAGGATATTGTAAAATTAAAAAAAAAAAAAAAAAGGGATTGGTTAAAAGAAAATTTCATAATCTAATTTCTATTTTGTGTTAAAATATTTTAATTATTAACTATAACGTTTGCAGGGGGGCAATTCTGTAAATTTTCCACTTACATTCCATTTTCCACATTTCATTTCCTACTTTTCTCATAACATTCCACTTTCAACTTCCTACTTTTTTTATTACACTTTCCATGTTCCATGTCCAACTATGCATTTCCCGATTTTCTATTTCCTACTATCCACTTCTCAGTTAACCCACTTTCAACCACCCATTTTTCACTTTCCACTCCCTATTTTCTACCTCCTACTTTCCACTTCATTTCCCAATTTCGACTATCCATTTTTTACTTATACCCCTCCACCTCCTACTTTTCAATTTCCACTTTCTACCTCCTACTTTCCACTTTTGACATCCCACTTTCCATATCTCACCTCCCACCAACCTTTTCCCACATTCTACTTCGCTTTTTAATCAATATTTACTTCTTTTTAAAAACATCGTTTAATAGTAGAAAATAGTGGGAAATTGGGAAGTGGATAGTGAGATGTGGAAAGTGGAAGGTAGACAGTAGGAAAATGGATAGTAAGATGTGAAAAGTGGAAAAATAGAAAGTAGAAATTGGGAAGTGTAGTGGAAAGTAAGGAATTAGGAAGTGGATAGTAGGAGGTAGAAAGTGGGAAATCGGGAAGTGGATAGTAGTTAGTGGAAAGTAGGAAATACAAAGTAGGAAATCGGGAAGTGGATATTAGGTGAAAGAAAGTGGAAAAGGGATAGTAGGAGGTAGATAATGGGAAGTGGATAGTAGTTAGTGCAAGGTAGGAAATAGGGAAGTGGATAATAGGTAGTGGAAAGAAGGAGGAAGAAAGTAGGAAATTGGAAAGTAGATAGTAGGAGGTAAAAAGTAGAAAATCGGGAAGTAGATAGTAGGAGGTACAAAGTAGGAGGTAGAAAGTGGGAAATTGGGAAGTGGATAATAGGTAGAGGAAAGTATGAAATCGGAAAATGGATAGTAGGTAGTGGAAAGTAGGAGGAAAAAGGTAGGATATCGGGAAGTAGATAGTAGGAGGTACAAAGTAGAAAATCGGGATGTGAATAGTAGATAGTGGAAAGTAGGAGGAAAAGAGTAGGATATCGGGAAGTAGATAGTAGGAGGTACAAAGTAGGAAATCGGGATGTGAATAGTAGGTAGTGGAAAGTAGGAGGTAGAAAGTGTGAAATCAGAAAGTAGATAGTAGGTAGTGGAAAGAAGTAGGTAGAAAGTGGGAAATGGATAATAAGAGGCAGAAAATGGGAAGTGGATGGTACTTAGTGGAAAGTAGAAAATGGGAAAATGGATAATATTTAGTGGAATATAGAAGGAAAAAAGTAGGAAATCAGGAAGTGAATAGTAGGTAGTGGAAAGTAGAAGGTAGAATGTGGGAAATAGGAAAATGGATAGTAGGAGGTAGAAAGTGGAAAAGTAGATAGTGTTATGTGAAAAGCAGGAAAATGGGAAAGTGAAAATTCCAAAATGAAAAGGGAAGTGGAAAAGTTACGCAATTGACTCTCAACTGTATTAATTTTTATTCCCTCCCTTTTTTTTAACGGTGGCAAAATCAATTTTTTTTTTCGTAATTGGCCCGCGCACAATTGCTGTGAAGACATATACAAAATTTATACTGTCGGCTGTCTCTAATCGGACGAAACAAATCTCCGAAAAAAATTGGACTCTGTATAAATTTATGGAGAATTCATTGAATCTTCTAATTTCATTTTTCAACGTGGATTCTCAGGACCTTTGGTAACCCATGACTCTGGACATCGTTCATTTTTTTTCCCTTCTCTCTCTCTCTCTCTGAATTGGAGCCTCCTTATTTTGTCGACAGACGTCCTTTCGCGATTCTCTCTTCCTCTCTCTCTCTCTCATTTTCTCATCTCTTGGACTCTTTTGTTTCCAAGTCCCCAGTCGAGATCCTATCGGGCATAAATAATTATCCCTGTACTCGGTTGCGCACATGCTCCTTCTCCTATGGAGAAGCGAACCTCGAAAAGAATCGCCGCTGCGGGATTTTCGTTTGGAATTTTATATAGCTCTCTCTTTCTCTCTCTCTTTTTTTTTCTCTCTTGCGGTTTGAAATGCCAGAAATTCTTCCTGATGTCTGTCGTTCAAACGAGGGGAGGAAAAATGCAGGCTCGTTACCTAAATAATTTAATTGAATTAAAAACTCAATTAATTCAAAAAGAGATAAAAGAATAAATTTTTTGATTATTCCGTTTTCTTTGATTTTTTGTTCTCTTCGCGAAACTCAATTTCGTGACGTATATATATATATATATATATATATATTTTTTTTTTGTATAACGACTCTCGCGCAATCCGTTGCTGATCTCTGCAAAAAAAAAATTTTTCCTTTAAAAACATTTCCCTTTGTGCTCCGACGAGAGCCTCTGGTCACGATTCGATTTTAATCCCATTGCTGGACGAGCACGCTTGCACTTTACAAGACTCGCGAATACAAATAAGAGGGCACCGCTCGCCGAACCTCTCGGATTTATGGAAATTAGCTTCGATGTCTGGTATCACCTTCACGGTTGGAACGTGAAGTAAAATAAAATCTACTCGAGATGTGAAAATAAGGATCGTGTTTTTAGAAGGGGTAAAAAAAAATACAACGATAATAAGAGAGATTCTATATAAGTAATAAAATGTTTCTATATAGGAGTGACAAGCTTACAATCTGTTCAACATTTTCGTTTCCGGATGTTTTATTTTAGAAAAAGTCACGGGAAATTTTAATTAGAAAAATTGGCAGAATTTTTTCAGAAACAGAATCATTTTACAGATTTTTTTTTATAAAATAAATTTTATTACACAATTTGTATCAATTTTTTAATTGAACGAATTTTTTTTTGTCCGAAATTACAAACTATACCGAACAAACAATCGATAGATAGATTTCGGCGCCAGTTTTAAAATTCACCAATCACGATTTTCTTTGATAATTTATCTAATTGGTCAATTTTCAAAAGTTGGGCCAAAATCTTTCTGTCCATTGTTTGTTTGGCCATTTGTAATTTCGGACAAATGAAAATTTGGCGTCTTAAAAATTCGTACAAATTCAAACTCGGCGTCTTAAAAATTCGTACAAATAAAAATTCGGACAAATTAAAATTCGGCGTCTTAAAAATTCGTACAAATAAAAATTCGGACAAATTAAAATTCGGCGTCTTAAAAATTCGTACAAATAAAAATTCGG